GACGAGTGAGGTGATGGAGTATACAAAAATAGCAAACTCTTTCTTTCTGGGGTACTAAAATTTATCTGATGCACCTCCATGGGTACACATACCCAAGTTAGAAACAGTATCTCTGAATTTTACTTCATAGATAAACTGTTTGCCTTGATGTCTGCAACATATTCTAAGGTTTTTTTTTGGGGGGGGCATGTATTCTATTATATGTATAAATACTTACAACTTGCAAAAGATACTAATATTGACTATTTGTTGGGGTGGGGTCACTAAGTTTTATATGGTTCATTCAACAATAGATTGTATTTAGCGAATTATGTTTCTGTAGCAAACTATTACTTTTTATCTATTACAGTCTAGACAGATAATAAAAAAAAAAGTAGAGAAAAACTTTTTAAATTGATATATATATATATATATATATATATATATATATATATATATATATATATATATATATATATATATATGTGTGTGTGTGGAACAAAAGAGAAAATAAAGTTAAAACATTAAGGGAAAAATCATAATGCATAACTTCCATAATTGAGTAATAAGACACATCACCCAGTCACAATAGGAACACTACCAAAAAAAAAAAGAGTTAACAATGAAAAGAGTAGTCAAGCTTTGTGCTAACTGCTGTAACTTATACATAATAGAATCAGAAATGACGAACAAAGAGACAGATAATCTGTGCAAATCAAGTTTCTTTCATTAAATAGCATCATTACTTTTCTCATAAAAGCAAATGTATCAGCATTATCATCATAGACAACCAGGAACAAGGGAAGAAGAAAATCAGTAAACATTTCCAGAAATGTCAAAAGCACTTAAGCATGAATTCTATCCACAAGATTCAGTTTGCTACAGAAAATCTGTATGATTAATAATAATGGCAATAATGGGGATGGCTTTAGTTATAGTCGCTGGAAATCACAGACATTAAAAAAAAAAAATTTAATAAATAAAATACATTTAAATAAAAGAAATAAATACAGATGTATACATGCATATTTTTTTTTATCAATAATCCTATTCTATCAGTAGCACCTGTGTCTGTTCCTGACCATTGACAATTCATTCCTTACTTGTTTCCCAATTTTCTAGGCACAACATGCAGATTAAGTGCTTAAAATTTCTTAAAACGTGATTTAGATAAAAAAAAATATTAGAAAATTAGATGTTTATAATTTTTTCCTACCTTCAAAAATACTTAGTCTGAACAGGTGATCTACCAAGTTGTATTAATGTCAGTGATAAGAAAACAGCAAATTACCTCATCAAACCAAGCAACGTGTCATGTGTATCCTATGATGGAAAATGTGGCAAAAAAGAAAATTACTTACCAAAAAAAAAGGGGGGGGGCACATATTCCGCATGACATGCTGAAGACGGAATATTTAAATTAGAAACAAGTCAGTCGCAGGAGTCGCCATAAAAGTATTTTGATATGCAAAAATTGGGCGTCTTCTCCCAGCTGTTGACGGATGGAAAAAATGCTCAGCCGATAAAAGCAGTTATTGTTCTCAAATTGGGAGAAAAGGAATAAAATTTGTGTATTTTGGCTACCACGTTCGTCGGAGAGCGAGTCATTTTTTTGACTGGTAACGTGCATTGTGATTTGTGAGATAGTACCTGCGAATCAAGATTTGACTATTAATTTCATCTAAAATAGTTATGCTGTTCTATCCAGATGACTTATATTATTACTTTCTGTCCCCGATATTCAAGTCTGAACTTACAGTGATTTGTTCTCTGTGTTGTGGAAGTAATCTGTGACAAATATTTCTTTTGCAATCCCAGAATGCTTACAAAAAAATCAAGGTGTTTGAAAATGGATTTTTTGTATTTATTAGTGAAGATACTGAGAAAAATGGTCAACTCATTCTATCTCAGCAGTAAGTGTCTGACTCTTTCTGCCATGTTTTATATTTGCAAGAGTGAGATTTGATCAAAAATGTAGTACATCTTAGCTGGAGCTGCTCAATCATCACTTTCCATCCTTGATAAGAGTTCAAAAGGGCCTATGTGGCCTTGTGAGTGATGAACTTTCTATTCTACAACCAACCCCTTTCCCACAGATGAAATGTTACAAGCTTCTTGTTACTATCTTTGGATGAACTAGATTCCTTAGTTCCACTAGTTCAGATCATTACAGCTAGGAGATGTCATGCCACATAGACAGGATCAAATCATCCCCATTTCCTTTCTATTCTACTGGTAATAACAAAGTACTATTTGGACAGCTTCTTCCCAAAAACTGCTATTTTCTGGAACAGAACCCCAAGGAGATGCTGACCTAATCACTAAAATCTTAACCACTTCAATTCTAGGGTCAACTGTTATCTACTTTCAACAACCATATTCAGTAACCCTCTGCCTTGATTGGCACTTGTGTCATGTATTAGAGAAAAAAAAATTAAAATAAAACAAGAAAAACTTATAGTATGTCCCAAAACTAACCCTATAACATGTTCAGTTAGAATATGACAACAAATTTCAGAAAATGTTTCTCATCAAGATCCATTTTGAACATTTATAAATCTACCATTCGTCCATGCATTGAATATTGCTGCCATATTTGGTTTAGTGTTCCTGCTATATATCTCAAGATACTTGACAAAATTCAAAGAAAGGGCTGTAATGTAATCACTCCTGACCTGGCATCTCAACTTGTCACTTTCTCACCATAATGACATGGCTTCCCTCTGTCTTTTCTACAAATATTTTCATGGCAATTGTTCTGATGATGTTTCCTCCTCGGTAACTTGACTGCATGAATTTAAGTGTGCTACTAGATTGGCAACTAGGTTTCACCACTTTATTGTTGAACTAGCCATATGTTCTACTCTAATACTTTCTTTTTTCACACTTCTCACCTTTTTCGATTTCTTACTTCCCTACTACCTACAATCTTCAACAATTTAAATGCAACACTAATCACCATCTTTTGTTTTTCTGAATCCTGTTCTTTTATTGTCCTTTCTCCTCACTAAAGTCTTCTCATTTTCTTTCACTCACAGTAACTCCTTGCATCCTAGTGGCATTATCAATTTGCTTTGAGTGAAATGTTTATAAAAAAAAAAAAAAAAAAAAAAATGAGCTACTGCATAAAGAATACACTTAAAGTAAAAAAAAAAAAACTTGGGTTCAAAAATTAAAATTTAAAATATTCAAAGTAAATCTCAGCTTCAGTCATTTTCCTACAGCTGGTAATATTAGTCCTAGACATAACAAAAAAAACTACATCCAGTATCTGATCAGGAGATTGGAACCACCTCTTAATTGCTGTTGTTCCCAGGTCCACCATAACCCAGGGTGGTAGCACTGGTTAGGGTCCCAGATATGGGCAAATAGTGAACCCCTAAATAAAACAATACACTATGAAAGTATAAAAATACATTTTCATAGTAAAAATAACAGGAATACATTTTTATATAAAAAATCACCAACAATACGTATTTATAATAAAATTACCAACAATACGTATTTATAATAAAATTACCAACAATATGTTTATGACAATATTTATTTGTAGGCAATAAAAGTAATCTTGAGCTATGATGCTCTAATGATAGTGTGGATAAACATGAAAATATTAACAAAACCAATCAGGACTTTGTTAATCAAATTTTGATTAACTAAAAACATGTTTTTTTCCAAGTCATGTTGAAAAGCATCACCAAAAGATAAGCAGTGATGAATCTGTTCAGTATTTATATAGGTGACCATTTACAAATAGCACATTCTATAAGCAACCTAAGAACTGTATTCAAGACTAAGAAAACTACTCGCAAGAATTTTTTTAAAAAATTATCTTCAATCTTCTAAAAGTGATTTAGCAATTATATAGTGAAACAAAATTATAAAGTACTAGTCATAGTAAAGGAAAAAGAAAAGACAGAAAGAAAAATACAGCAACAAAATCCATGGCAAGGCCAAGATACAAGAAATCCAGAAGATTATCCTCCTTGGCACTGCTCATTTATAAATGAAAGACTATCCATCAGTCATGGAAGCCCCAAGTTCAAGGATAGACTCTGATGCATGTGTGAACAAAGTAGGGCATTATGGATAAAGTAGCAGTAGTAGTAATTGATTGATTTTTTTGTTTTTTATTTTATCTTATTTTTTACAGCTTATCAACCTTGTTGCTGAACCATATTTTAGAATGTATGAATAATTCTTACATTTTTGTTTGCAAATGAATTAATTTTTTGGTGATAATTTTCAGATACAAGTCTTACTGTTTAATCCATAGCTAAGAGGAGGAAATAGTTTTTTACCTTTTCCAAGTGCATTTGCACATAAGTAAATGTAATGAACCTGACTGGAGTATTAGTAACAATATAAGTCATCTGGATAGAACAGCATAACTATTTTAGATGGAATTAATAGCCAAGTCAAAGTTAGTAGACTCTATATATCTTTTCTTGTGGTCATTATATAAAATTTATGTAATAGTTTTTTTTAAGGTAACAAACCCAAAATAGGTTTTAATGCATTGAAATGAGGATTGAACAGAGTGTTAATCAATAATTAGCCATATTGGTTATTTGCCAATTGATTTTCATAATCAGTTATCATTGAAATTTCATCACAATCATTAGTTATCTTAAACATAAGAAAAATTTAGATATTATTCTAATTGTTTTTCATTATTATTTTTTTTTTTTTGTCAATCTTTATTGAGAGTAATTAAATTAAGAAAATCAACTGCTGACACTTCTTTTACCATTATTTTTTTATTAGTCCATTATGCTCTGCTTAGGTTAAATTCTGAGTTCTGCTATTCTGACTATCTGAAACATCAAGAGCAATGCAAGGAATGGTATCTTTCATTGCAAATATGATTTGGTTACTAACCCACTAATACCTCCTCTTTGCTTAATGAAAAAATCTAGCTCTGTAAACAGCCTAGCAACAGGAATTGAATTTGTGCATGGTACTTAACTGAACTTTCTTTAAAATTCTTTGTCAATTTTGTTTTCTTTTGCTATCTTTTCTCATGCAAAATAACAAATTATCATCAAAGAAACACCAAACATGAAAACTAAGAAGATATGCAAGAAAATAGATATACAAATTTCTGGATGATTCTGACCATTTTTCAGAAGATGGTGAAAGATAATCAGCCTCTATAGCATATAAAAAGAATTCATTGACTGATCAGTAATCAACCAATAATTTTATGCTCATTAATTGATAATTGACTAACTTATCAGTGCAACCCTAATTGAAAAAAAAATTACATAGAATGCTCTTAATGTATTAAATGTGTATATGCATTAAACTATCATCTTTAAAAATGATTCTGAAAGAAAAATACCCAAAATGATCACTGAGTTTTAGCAAGGGCAGCTGCAAGTGACATTGTTTTTATGTAAGATAAATAATATATATAATTCTACAGACATAGAAAGTGTGATCTCCTCTTATCTGTGGTCTTAGTTACTTGACGTTGGCTCTCAGAAATAAATAACTTTTACTTAAAATTTCCTAAAAATTTCCTTTCCACCACCATAAAATTTATTATAGTATATTGTTATAATTATTCTACTTTATTATTATTATAAATGCCATGTCACTTCAGGGTGTGGGCGATCATGGCTCACCACAAATTCCTCTCCTTTGGAACACTTAGTAAGGCTTGTCTTTTTGCTAATCTGTGTTCTGCAACCATCTATATTAGCTTGTTAAGCGTTCATCTGTCCCTCTTGCTTACAATATGCCCTGTGAGTATCAAATACTCCAAGCCCTCTTTCCTCATTATGTCAGGGCTCATAATTCTATTAGTTGTTAATCTTTATTTGACCTAATTTATAATATTTTATATATATATATATATATATATATATATATATATATATATATATATATATATATAGGTATGTATAAAAAACATATAGCATATATCCTAGTAGAGTATAGCATACAGCCTCAACACACTAGGTGTTGCTATATATATATATATATATATATATATATATATATATATATATATATATATATATGTGTGTGTGTGTGACACTGATGTCAGCAAGAAGTGGCAACAGTCAGCTTCACGCTTGAGGGCAATGTTCAGGTTATCTGTAATCACTTGTTGACCTCAGTGTTCACTTCTATATTTACATACAATATCATTGAGCACTATTACCCATGAATATAGCATACCTTAAAACTAAGAAAGAGAGAGAGAGGCAAAGCAAGCGAGAGAG